TTTGGCTAATTCTTCATCCCTCAGTGCTCATTCAGCTCAGGCACCAGCCTCCAGGCAGCTTCAGATTATGGGGTGCCTATCATGGGTCTTCCTTTGGCACCCTGGGTGGCACTCATTGCTCCGGCTTCCTGGTTTTCCTCACTTAACTGTGAGCTCCTTGAAGTCAGAAACCACGTCTTAGGCCTCCAGACCTCCAGCACCTGATGAAGCACCTCACTCAATCGTGTTTCTTGAAACGAATGAGACAGTGTACAAAGGCTTCTATCAATTGGTCTGTAGGTCATGGGCGTGGCCTTTGTTAGTAAGGAGGTGCCTGATTCCATCTTAGTCCAAGAAAACGCAACTCTTTTTTTTTCTATTATTTGTGTTTAACAGACATTTATGGAGGAGATGACTCGCAAACAGCCTGACGTGGACCGGGTCACCAAGACATACAAAAGGAAAACTATAGAGCCTACCCATGGGCCGTTCATCGAGAAATCCCGCAGCGGCAGCAGTACGTTTCTAGCCCGCTCCCTTAGGATGCTTCATCCCTGCTAGTTGAAGATGCGCACTTGCCAAACAATACCTTTTTTTAAAACTCACTTTTCTTCCACTGACATACAGTAACTATACTCCATTTTCTTGGATTGGTATGAAATTTCAAAATAATTTCAAATTAAATTATTTTGCAATGACCTTGCCAGTGTTTTGGTCATCAGTGCTAGCTGCTTACATTTGGTTTGCACTAATTTAATCGTAAACTAAATGAGCTTCTATAGAACCATCGCTTTTTTAGTTGATTTGACATTTCCTCAGTTCACTAAGGGGGCAAAATTGGTTGAAAATAGGAGGTGCGTACCTGTTGGTTGGGGAGGAGAATTAATAGTTTTGAAGTTAATATGCTCCTGTATCTGAATGTTCCCAGGTCCTGTGTTTTCTTGTAATTCCTAACTGGGTATCAAGATAAGGATCTCCCAAATTCATATGTGTGGCAGTTTCTCTCTGTGAACTGACAAAACCAGCTTTTCTAATCTTGTGGCTGTTTTCCTTTTAGGGAAGACCCTGAATCAACCCACACCACCTCCCATGCCAATCCTTTCACAGTCTGAAGCAAAAAACCCACGGATTAACCAGCTCTCTGCCCGCTGGCAGCAGGTGTGGCTGTTAGCGCTGGAGCGCCAGCGGAAGCTGAACGATGCCTTGGATAGGCTGGAGGAGGTAAGGCCCTGCCGAGCAGCCGCTGCTGGAGAGAAGGGACTTCGATCAAAGCAGCCCTTCTTAAGCCCTCTAAATACGACCTGTGTGTCTTGACCTACCTGTTCAGAAGTAGAAATGGACCAGTATGAGCCAGTGTTCTGTCCCTCAAGCCCCCTAGGAGAAAAACACATGTGAGTAAACCACNTATACTTATGGGAATTGATAAAAACAGAATTTTAAAAAAAGAGAAACTAATTCAGAAACGGAAAAGGGACATAGCTCTGTGTCCCTAGTCCTTGTCATCTGTAGCAGAGAAAGTCATTCTTGTGTAAATCCCTCACCTTCTCAAGTCTTAGAACTGGAAAGAAAATGCCAGAGATGCCTAAATACAGGCATTTCGAGGTCTGTGTCAGCAAACACATGGAGGAAACAAATACACTGAGAAACTTCCCCCTCTGTAGCGTAAACTAACAGTGCTGCTAGAGTGGATTCTTAAGATTGTTTTCCAATTTTTTCTGTTTAGGAATTTATGAAGAAAGTGGAAGAAAAACGAGTGGATGTGAATGCGGCCGTGACGATGGGGGAAGTCATCCTGGCTGTCTGCCATCCTGATTGCGTCACCACCATCAAACACTGGATCACCATCATCCGAGCTCGCTTTGAGGAGGTGAGTTCCTGGCTCTAGAGGATGACTACACGTGCCTGGTAAAATGGGTTTATAGCAACAAAATAATAATACTACAGAGCTTTCTTTCCACCCCAGGTAAGGAATCTTTCACTCACTGGGAATAACTCAACAAGAATGAAGTTAGCATTTTAATGATGGCTGTTTTCTTGGTAGTGTGCAGAAATCTGGAAGGCTAGTGCTGGTGTAGCGATGCATTAGTTGATCCTTCCAGTGGACACTTGTATTCTTCCTTCCTCCAAGTCCTGTGTTAATAGGCCGTACGAGATTTGCTCTCAGAAGAGCTGATTTCTTATTCCATCTCTTAAAACCCAGCTCTGTCGGTTGAGTAAGAGCAAAGCCTCTTGACTGCTTGGGTGGTCTTTTCCCTTAAAAGGCCTTGTTAGGATCAGATGAAGGACTGTAAAAACACAGAGATGTGCTTGACTAAAAGAGGCGATGGTTTCTCTTCCCCCAGGTCCTCACATGGGCTAAGCAGCACCAGCAGCGTCTTGAAACGGCCCTGTCAGAACTGGTGGCTAACGCCGAGCTCTTGGAAGAACTACTGGCATGGATCCAGTGGGCTGAGACCACGCTCATCCAGCGGGATCAGGAGCCCATCCCTCAGAACATTGACCGAGTTAAAGCCCTCATCGCTGAGCATCAGGTACCTTCACCGCGTCACGTGGTCACTGGTGTTTCCCGCACTGCTCGTGGAGCCCATTTTCTTTGCCCTGTGTATCCTTTTAAAATTGCTGCCTAACATATTCCTACAGACTTAGCAGCTTACAACACCACATGTGTTATTTCACACTTTCTGTGGGGCAGGAGTCTGGGCATGAGTTTGCTGGATCCTCTTCTTAGGGTCTTATCAGGCTGAAATTAAGGTGTCAGCCAGCGCTGCAGTTCTCATCCAGGCTCATTCAGGTTGTTAGCAGAATTCATTTCCCGTGGTTATAGGACTGAGGTCTCCATTTTCTTGCTGACTGTTAGCCAGGAGTTGCTGTCAGCTCCTGAAGGCCCCGTTAGGCCTTAGCTACATGGCAGTCTCCCAGCATGGCAGCTTAGATCTTCAAAGCCAGCAGGAGAAACTCTGCGGCCTGCTGACAGAGCTTATGTAATAAAATGTAATCAAGGGAGTGACTA